GGTGTAAGGGTGCGATTATAAATTAACATTAGCCTGCGCGTGCATTTTCGTTTGGTTTAGTTTAATTCACTGTTAGTCAATAACATTAGTGGCTATCTGAGTTAGTTGCAATTCATGTAGTCGTATGGTTATAGTTATAGATCAATCATGGCAGCTGTCGGGGGCACTTAGACGGCCTTGTAGACGCGCACGCACTTCACGCTGCCGATGGTGAGGGTCTGCGGGGAAGGGTTTGGATCAGTAAGGAGTGGTTGGTTATATAGGCTATTATATATTTACGGTGATCAGCTCTCCGTCGTTGAACTCGCGGACGATGGTGGTGGGCTTATCGCCCTTCTGCTCCTGCGTCAGCTTGTTGCCATCCAGGGTGATGATGCTCTTCACGTTGCGTCCGTCTAGGGTCTCCTCGTCGAACTCCTGGCCCAGCTTGAAGCTGATCGCCGACGTCTTAAAGGTGGAGGTAGTGGTCAGGGTGTAGGTATCACCCTCCAAAGTCACCTCCACGGTGGGGCTCAGGCTGTTGCCCATCTTACGGGTCACCAGACCGACGCCTGCAAGTAAAATAAGTAAAATAAGAATTCAGAAGTGATCAAAATGTATGCGAAGGGAAAGTAAAGAAATCAAAAATCGGAATAAAAGAAGAATTATGAGAAGACTGCACATAATTCAATTACCCCAACAGAGTTGGCGACCCCAGAGTGGTCACAATGCAAATCATATCATATTTAATTGAAAATAATAAAGCCGAGCAATGAAGTTCTCTGCAGACTCAGTCAAAACGTCAAAAGTCGTGCTCAAGGTTAACGAACAATGCGGGCCGTCGCCTTCTCCTCAGTCTAGGGGCTTATCAATTGGCAAGCCCCTCTATATATAGACCTAACATACACCACATTATCTCAGTGCAGCAACACATATATATATATATATACAAGTGAGGATGTCGATTGCAGCAGAACAATCTGTATATACATACGGTCAAAACTTAAATATTATACATGTTTAAAATAGGTCTTAAATTTCGGTGTTACTTATTTCAAACGCTAAAATGCAGTCGGTTAAAGTGTTTATAGTTTCAGAGAAGTAATCAAGATAATAGCATTATTGTAAGATAAGCAAGCAATTCAGTCATTAGAAGATATCTCATTAAAAATAGTCATTAAATCGTTTTTAAATAATTGCTAGCATTAAATACTTGATTTTGTACGTCCTATAATAAATAATATTTTATAGCTTTACTGTTTGGTATGAATCATTTTTAATCTGATTCATTTATTTTCACATTTTTAGATTCAGCTAAAGCTTCCAGTGCCAACAAATATCGTATCGTTATTTGAATGGGTTTGTAAAGAAACAAAAACAAATAATTAAACGTGCTCTATGCGCAAAGCAGAATTGAATGAGCCAGCAACAAGATTCTGGATTCTAGAGAAAATAACATTACGGTTTATTTCTGACCTATAATATATCGAATTGAAAACATTGTACAACCATCAAGAGGTCCAATCAATTATGTTCAATTATGTATGGATCACATACCCCTCACAAGTTTGGCTTTTGTCAAGTCCTCTCGAGTCAAGTGTCAACTGCCGTAGCACGATAAGTTCCCACTCATGGGAACCCAGCAACTGTAGCAGAGATCGATTTATATGCATCGTATATGACAGGAGAACCTTGAATAGATTAGACTAGCCTGCAATTACGAACTGTGGTCTATGATAGGGCCGCCTGCCCAAAGTGCAAAATCCGTAATCGCACCTAATTATCGTGCCCATTGGAACATATATGTAGTATGTAGTTTATCGCATTTATATTCGACAACTGATAACAGCTGCGGGGTCCCAACGGCATGTTCGTTTGGATTTGTTTGGGTTTGAAAATTGAGAAGTACGTGGCTCTGAGACCAAGTCTAGCACTAAAACCGAAACCGCAAAGTGTAGGCGAAAAGTTCTGGCGAACCGGGGACTGGTAAATAAATCCGGACCTCAAAGTGGCGCGCCATCTCCGGTTTCTAAATTTATCCCACATCCCCCTGACACGGCCCCTGAAAACGTCTAGACAGGCATAGAAACTATCGATCATTTGAATTATTTGGTATTATAAATTATTACAAATATGTTTCATCATATTGAATTAAATAATTTAATATACTCTTATATTTTGAAGGCTAAAATTATCTACAAATTATTTTGTATGGCCTAGGCTAAATATCGCAGCTACAAAAAGTTTATAGGCTAGTGCAAAGTCCAGTGACACATATACGACATCTGTCGCAAAAGCTAATGTCATGATGATGGTCCCATAGAAAACAGGCAGAAGTTACTCAAAAAGGGGAGCAAAGTTCAGACCCCTCACTTAATTAGTTTTTTTTGGGTTTATGACTCTCTCAAATCAGTTTTAACGCATTTTATACCTTATGCGCTCTGATTCGCAACTGTTATTTTGGACCACGTTTTCTCAGCTTGTGCATCTCTTTTTCCGTTCCTCCTCTCTATTGATTTTCATCTCACACACATGCAGAAAAAGATTCATGGGCAGATTTAAATTACAGTTTAGAAACTGCTTTTTGGAACGCTGAGTAAATCGTTTAAATAATAAAATTCATTCATTGTTTTCTAGTTGATATTACGTTATTTTATAATTCGGGAAGTACTTGAATTTATTCCGCCCTTGCAGTTTTTACACACTTGTACAGAAAATGCCGGCCGGTCGATTTCGGTGGCGTGTTTTTAGCTTCTCTCCCTCTCCCTTCTTTCTTAGTCACTTCGTTTTATTTTGGATATTTTTGCCGCATGGCAAATTTGTGCTTTATTTCTGGACACTTACCCAGCTCCTTCATGTACTCATCGAAGTTCTCGGACTTGTCCAGCTTGTACTTCTTGCCAACGAAAGCCATTTTAGGGATTTGATGTTGTGTATTTCGGCACAAGATGTTTACTTTTCAAACTTTTCTGGGCGAATAAAACGTTTTGCATTGTGCCGGCTCTTTTTATACTTTTGCGACTTGTGGCGTTGCCAGCTGAAAAAGACCGTTCGCTCTCCCAATTTCTCCCTCTCGCTCCCTCTCAGTGTGTTGCATAGATGTGGAATATTTGTTTGTTTGCTTTTGGATGCTTGTGAGAATAAGCGGAAACATTTAATGATGTGGATGCGGCATCGGCTGAGGATCGGCTTACCAGATGCAAAACCAAGTACAGCCACCAAGGTATCGAAATGTCGGCGCCAGGCCCAAAGCGCTCTTACATAAAGCAGTTTTTTTTAGGCGCTCTCCAAATAAAATGTTAACGGTTCTATGTATGGATTGCCCGTAGCCGTACACATTGGCCCCTCTCCAGGTACTGCCCGCCGTATAATGGGTCCAACGTGTTTGTGTTACTGTTACTGCCCCTCTTGCACCTTGGCGTGATCAATTGCCTGCAGCCTTAATTGATTCAAAGGTACCGTCTTATTAACGGACGCCACATTGTCATGGAGACAGCGCAATTGCAATAAGGTCTCCTAAATACAGTCAATACTGTGGAAAATCCATTATATTTCGTTGACTTGAACTCAAACTACTACATTAACATATTTATATTCTCTATTTTGCCATTTAAAGTTAAAATATGGAACAATCATAGTCACACTAGTTTATATTGCATATAAAAGCAATGTATTAATTTTTTTGTTTTTTGTGTGGCAGGTAAAGGTTTATGTTACTGAGGCTTAACTGTGGTGTACCTATACAACATCTGAATTTATATTCATATTTATTCATATGCATGAGTATAAATATACTTTCGACACAATTAGTGCACATTACTTTTATGAATATCTTTTGATAAGCTGGCGTTGAATTGTAATCTAATCGAGAACTTCCTTCCACCCAGGGCTGTCCAATGCAATATTAAGATTACCCACGATCTATATAAGCTTGCCCATCCCGTGGGAGGCCCCACCTACATTCATGCATACCGATTTTGTTTGTTGCTATGCGTTATCTTATTAATTCAATTGGCAATCCGGGATCTCTATACCCATCGTCAATCACGACCATATTCTTGCATTGACTATCACAAAATATATCATGAGATTTATGGAGTTTATTGGATAGGAAATTTGTATGTCGATACTTAGAAGATAAAAATCCGCGTTATCAATTTTGAAGTGGTTGACTGAAGCACATAAACAAAAAAATTATGCAAAATATTTAAAACAAATTGGTTTATAAACTTACTTGAAAAAAAAAGGTACTTCTAAAAAAAATGTGTTTAAATGCGGTTTAAAAAGAATAATAAGTTTTGTAAATTATATATTTTTTAATAATACCGTAAAATACCTTTAAATATAACTAATCCCAAACAATCCCATTTCGGTTTGTTATTATTTGCCGACTTTAAAAAAAAAGATATTTTTATGGCATACTTTAAGTGATCGTGCTACTGCAAAAAGGCCCGAAAGTATGCAATATAAGCTGCAAAGTTATGTTTTGAAAATGGGCCTTATAGATTACACTTCTCAGTTTAAACCATACCTACTTACCATTTAGGCTGCTATTAAAAACATATTTGCTCGATAATAAAATTTTTTTTGTGAAGCACATTTATATATCTTTTTTCGAGATATGATAAAAGTTTTGTAGTCTTTATTAATTATAGTCAAAAGAATGAAAGATAACAAAGTAATTATAATGTTTGCTTGCTCGATTAAAAGGCGTATCATTGTTACACATTACTTATAACTGATAACTACAGCCGAGTGTCATGTCAAACGATGGGTTTGCTCATCCTCTGATAAAAGAGAGGCCACAAAGAGAGTGCTGGTACCAAAGAGAGATTTTTAATCTGACGGAAAATCATTCTAACAAATGTGAATTCCGGAGATATGTTTCGAAGCGCCCCAAAGAGCTATAGAAAAACCCAGAGAGCACCATACCGATCTGAAACTAACACAGTAAGCACAAAGAATTAAATGGGGAGCTATTTAAGATTGAGTGCGAGAGCGAACACCATTAGAACGAGCCGGAACGTCGGAGCGAGCACATCAACGTGGGTAGAATAGCGCGAATAGTCATGCAGTTACGATAAGATGTGCGCCGAGCGAAAACAAAACAATGATGAAATTCGGCTGTAACATATAAAACAAAATTAAGTATCTCGAAGTGAAGTGATCTTTGTATTTCTATCTCGCAAAATAACCGATTGAATGCCACGCAATATTATCTGCATTGTGACAGTGGAAAATTTACCCCCTTCTACGGCGAATAGAAATCGAACTCATATCTCTGAAGTCTCTCGCATTTCCATCTGGTTTCTCCCCTGCTAATGCCAAACTAATTATATTAGAGCCGAGCGCGTGTCCCCCTTCGGATCGAAAAAGTGCTAATCAACCGCGGCCACCTAAAGACGATTCCCGGTCACCAAACAAGTCTTCTGTAATTCAACATTCTATATAGTGCAATTTAAATCCAATCAGTGCAATAACCTGCCAACAGCATGCAGTCGATGAAAGCTGATGAACTGCCGGCGAATCCGCGGGAACGTGCCAACCCCCTCTCCTCTCTCATGTTTTGGTGAGTATACTGATAAATGTTATTGTTTTCTGGAGTAAACTTTCCGCGAGTATCTGATTAATAATGCTAGAAGAATACCAATTTTAAATGAAAATGAAAAATCTTTTTTGCTATAGTAGTAGTATAAATATTTACTTTCCGCAGTTAATGAAATAAACATTAAGTATAAACAATCAAGTAACTGTTACTAAAAAAGACTTTTCATTAAAGCTGTGATAATAAGGTGCTATTTTATCGCTGTGATTTGAATAGGGTACAAGGGGCTAGGGCGCAGACAGCGTAACAACACTGCCAAGTTGATTATTTCATTCAATGGTTCACTTAATTTGCATGGCCAATGCGTGGAAATCTTTTTGCATTTGCCTGGAGCTCGCATCTTTACTCAATTGGCTACCAATTGAAGGCGACACTTAGCTTTAGCTTTTTAAAACTACTGTGAAGGGAAACAAACAAAGTTAAATGAAAAGTAACTAAGCTATCACAACGTGATATCTGCTTGGGGAAAAAAATGCTGACAAGTTTAATGAATCAGTGCTGTGCAAATTACGGAAAAACAAGCTTTTAAAAAAAAGGTGTGGATATATCAAATCATCTATAGTTGAACTTTGGTATTTGTAACGCTTATCTGACAACATACATAATTTGATTTATAGGGTCTTCAAATTTTTGATTAGATTTTTTTTTGAAATTAAATAAGTTGTTGGTGTTTGGAGTTTTTAAAAAGTAAACTAATTGATTCACTTGCCTCTTAAACCGAGTATTTGTTTTGGGTTATCGTAAATTATAGATGCATTGGGGTCAGCAAATATAATCGCTTTCAAAAAAATATTATACTAAATTCTATTATAATGGGGTTTTTTTCGTTGAAAAAAGTAAAGTACTTATTAAAAACCAACCTCGTATGTACATTACGTTCAAGTTACGCAGAGGTTTAATTGCTGATTTCTATGTTTTTATTGTCACTGAAATTTGAGTTAGAAAAACTTAATTTGTGTTCTTGAAAAAAAATGTGACCGTGACATACTCGTTTTTTAATGCTACATTAGCTATCAACCGTTTTCCTCTGATAAGAGCCAGGGAATGACAGTTGTCTGTTTTTTTTTTTGGTTGTCATAATATCACAAAAGAATTATTAGTATCAGTCCCTGATAACAGAGAGAGCCTGCCGCTAATTATGTTTTTATTGTATCACAAATAAAATCTGCCTACGTGATGCTGATGCAATGTGAAGTTTTGCCATGCCCGTATTATTTAAAGGGCGGAAAAAGACTCTGGAGCAAAAGGATCTATATCGGGCCCTCAAAGAACACAAATCGGGTGAGTTTCTTAATTGGTTAAAAGCCGTGTACTTATTTTAATGGAGATAAAATCTAGATTCCCTGGGAGATCAACTGTGTGCAGCCTGGGATGAGCAGGTGGCCAAAAATGAAACACCACGTTTGGGTCGCGCCCTGATAAAAGTATTTGGGTTTAAGCTGTTTCTCACGGGGTTATCTCTGTTTGTCCAGGAATTCTTAACCAAGTAAGTCCCCTTTTGCTGAGATTGTCTTGCCAATTACTAACCGATCTCCAATACCAATTACAGAATTACTCAGCCCATTTGCTTGTTTGGGGTGATGGCCTACTTTGCCGGCAATGATCCGGATCGGGCGAAGGCCCAGCTTTATGCAGCGGGTCTTATAGCTGGATCCGTATTTAGTGTAGTTATAGGTCATCCCTATATGTTAGGCTTACTTCATCTGGGTATGAAGATGCGCGTCGGTAAGTGTGGGGCTTATTCTACATAGACTAAATTTAACCGGTTATCATCTCTTAATTCCAGCCCTCAGTAGCCTCATCTATCGAAAAGCTCTTCGCCTGAGTAGAACTGCTCTAGGTGACACAACAGTGGGTCAGGTGGTCAATCTTTTATCCAACGACGTGGGTCGTTTTGATTCGGTTCTGATCAACGTTCACTACTTATGGATAGCTCCTCTAGAGCTGATTGCAGTCACCTACCTGATGTACCTTGAGGTAAGAATGTGTTTCAAAACGAAACCTCAAACCGGTTCCTAACCAAACCCCTTTGCAGCCCTCTTCTAAGTTCTATAAAAGTGACTCTCCTCGAAAATCGCTTCTAAAGTAACATAGATATACATGTGCTTATAGTGGAATGTTTTGTATATTTTTGGCCAGATTGCAAAACCAACTAGTAAAAAAACATTTAGCACTGAACGATTATTTTCGTCATAGACCCAAAGATCAAAAATGTATTTCCTACTTTACATAATATTAAATATAGACTTGTTGTTTTTTATTTTTTTTTTCATAAACCAATAAACTTATATGCTTTCCCCTTTATGGCTATGGTCGTTGTTCCGGTGCTCAAATAGATAACTGCGAGTATCAATAAATAATTTCGTCTTGAATACAAATGTTCTTTTATTATTCTTAAGTACTTATTGTACCCATTTATCGATGGAAAACCATCTAATGGAGGTGCATTTTTTTTGGAGGGACAAATGTTAATAAATATAGAACTGTTTACCACTATTAACGAATTAAAAATAACTATAATAGTCCGCACTTTAAATTAAATTTTCTTTTCATTTACAGATCGGCGTATCTTCCTTTTTTGGGGTCGCGATAATGCTATTGTTCCTGCCCTTCCAATCCTACCTCGGCAAGCGGATCAGCGTGCTGCGCCTGCGCACCGCTTTGCGGACGGACGAACGCGTTCGGATGATGAACGAGATCATCTCGGGTATCCAGGTTATTAAGATGTACGCCTGGGAAAAACCATTTGGCAAGGTGGTAGAGCTGACCCGCTTCAATGAGATGCTGTGCATCAAACAAGTCAACTACATCCGCGGCATCCTCATCTCGTTTGCCATGTTCCTGTCGCGCATCTTCACCTCCTCCAGCCTGATTTCCTTTGTCCTGCTGGGGAATGTCCTGAATGCCGAGAGGGCCTTCTTCGTCACTGCCTACTATAATATCCTCCGACGCTCGGTGACCATGTTCTTCCCGCAAGGCATCTCTCAGTTTGCCGAGCTACTGGTTTCCGTTCGGCGGTTGGAGACGTTCATGCATCGACCAGAGACGCAGGTCAGTGATAAGTCGAAGATCATTAGTCCGATCACGAAGGAAGAGTCCCTAAATGGAGACAGTCCTAAGAGGAATGGCCTCTCGGAGAATCTGATTGAGTTCAGCCAGTTCAAGGCCCGTTGGGAGAGCCATTCGGTGGACCCGACGCTGGAGGACATCAATCTGCAGTTGGGATCTCGTAAGTTGGTGGCTGTCATCGGTCCCGTTGGCGCTGGCAAATCCAGCTTAATCCAAGCCGTACTAGGCGAGCTGCCGGCGGAAAGTGGCAACCTGAGGGTGAATGGAAGTTACTCGTATGCAGCCCAGGAGCCGTGGCTTTTTACGGGCACTGTGCGCCAAAACATCCTGTTTGGCTTGGAGTGGGACAAGCATCGCTATCGCACCGTGGTGAAGAAGTGCGCCCTGGAGAGGGACTTTCAACTGTTGCCCTTTGGTGACAAGACCATCGTGGGCGAAAGGGGAGCTTCTCTCTCTGGCGGACAAAAGGCCAGGATAAGTTTGGCCCGAGCTGTTTACCGAAGAGCTGATATCTATCTGCTGGATGACCCACTCAGCGCTGTGGATACCCACGTTGGGCGACACTTATTCGATCAGTGTATGCGCGGTTATCTTAAAAGCGAGCTCGTGATATTGGTCACCCACCAGCTGCAGTTCCTGGAGCAAGCCGACCTTATAGTTATTATGGACAAGGGTCGCATTAGCGCAATGGGCACGTATTCATCGATGAAACGCAGTGGGCTGGACTTTGCGCAACTATTGACTTCGCCCAACGAAAAGGATGAAGAGTTCGACGAGGGCGATGGGTCAGGTGGAGATGGACTAAACCTCTTAAACGTACCCACGCTGAGCAGAAGGAATAGCAAGAACAGTAAGCCGAGCACTCGAAACAACAGCTTCACCTCCTTAAGTTCCGTGGCGGAGTCAATGGCCCAGGAGGAAGCTCAGCAGCTGCAGGAGGCGCGAGTTGAGGGCAAGATCGGTCTTGGACTGTACAAGGAATACCTGACAGCCGGAAGCAGTTGGTTTATGCTCTTCTTCGTGATCTTCCTCTGCCTGGCCACTCAAATCCTCAGCTCAGCAGCGGACTACTACTTATCCTATTGGTAAGAGTAATCTCTACATTTAAGAAGAAAATAATTAATGCCATCTTTGACTTTGCAGGGTGGACAAAAACGTGTACGATAAGACAGAAAGTATGTCAAATTCAGAGGATATGTATTACTTCGCTGCCCTCAATTTGGCCGTAGTCGTATTCACCATCGTGCGCACAATGCTCTTCTATAAGATTGCGATGCGCAGCTCCACACAGCTGCACAATGCCATGTACCAGGGCATTACAAGGGCGGCGATGCACTTCTTCAATACGAATCCCTCGGGGCGAATTCTCAATCGCTTCTCGAAGGACCTCGGCCAGGTGGACGAATTACTGCCCTCTGTAATGCTGGATGTGGTGCAAATTTTTCTTACTCTACTGGGTATTATTGTTGTGATTTGCGTTACTAATCCATACTACCTCATTTTGACGTTAGCCTTGGGTTTTATCTTCTACTATATCCGGGAGTTTTACCTGAAGACATCGAGAGATGTGAAACGATTGGAGGCGGTGGCCAGATCACCGATATACTCTCACCTAAGCGCCACGATTAATGGCTTGCCCACAATCCGAGCTTTGGGAGCTCAAAAGGAACTCATTGCGGAATTCGACAATCTGCAGGATTTGCACAGTTCCGGGTACTACACATTTTTGTCGACGAATCGTGCCTTTGGTTATTACCTGGATTGCTTCTGCACATTGTATATTGTGATCATCATCCTCAACTACTTTATAAACCCACCGAAAAGCTCTGGAGAAGTGGGCTTGGCCATCACTCAAGCGATGGGCATGACTGGAATGGTGCAATGGGGCATGCGGCAATCGGCGGAGCTGGAGAATACGATGACCGCGGTGGAGCGAGTGGTGGAGTACGACGAGATCGAACCGGAGGGCGAGTTCGAGTCCCGCGAGGGAAAAAAACCATCACCCAATTGGCCCGAAAAGGGTGAAATTGTGACGGAGGATTTGTGCCTGCGCTACTTCCCCGATCCGCAGGCCAAGTATGTCCTGAAGGCCCTTAATTTCCGTATCCGGCCCTGCGAAAAAGTGGGCATCGTTGGCCGAACTGGAGCTGGCAAATCGTCGTTGATCAACGCGCTCTTCCGACTCTCCTACAACGAGGGCATCATCACCATCGACGAGAGGGACACGGCTGATATGGGGCTCTTTGATCTGCGCAGCAAGATATCCATCATACCCCAGGAGCCGGTGCTCTTCTCGGGCAGCATGCGCTACAATCTCGATCCCTTCGAGGAGTATAACGATGCCAAGCTGTGGGAGGCGCTGGAGGAGGTGAAACTGAAACCCATGTTTGCAGAACTGCCCAGTGGACTGCAAAGTAAGATCTCCGAAGGCGGCAGTAATTTCAGCGTGGGCCAGCGCCAGTTGGTGTGCCTGGCGAGGGCGATTCTCCGGGAGAATCGCGTTCTAGTCATGGACGAGGCGACGGCCAATGTGGATCCCCAGACAGATGCCTTGATTCAGGCCACAATACGAAGCAAATTCCGGGACTGCACGGTGTTGACCATTGCCCATCGCCTGAATACGATTATGGATTCGGATCGCGTGCTGGTCATGGATGCCGGTCATCTTGTCGAATTCGGTTCACCATACGAGCTTCTCACCTCCAGCGAGACGAAAATCTTCCATGGCATGGTCATGGAAACTGGACAAAACAGCTTCGACAGCCTGCTCAAGGTCGCCGAAAAGGTGAGTTGTGATATGGTTCCCTACAATTTCGGTTGATTTCAATTTTGTAAATTTTGCAGGCCCATCTCGATGCACAGAAACCCAAATCTGAGTAGACAAGGTATAGGCTTAGTACGTTGAAAGCCAAAAAAGGTCTCGGCTGAATGCGCTTTAAAAGTTTTACATAATCCAGCCAGCAGCATTTAAGTTAATTTTCTACTTAAAGTATTATGCCTTCGAGCCTTTCATACTTATAGGACTTAAATCTTACCTGTGAAATAAACAGCCCAACGAATGGTTAAGTATACAGAGTCTCAAAAAACTGGGCGATTGTTGATCAAAAAATACAAATAAAATAAATTTGAATGAAAAATTTGTAAATCTTCTAAAGTTTTATTTAATATTTAATTTGACCATTGACCATAGACTAAATAAGTCGGGATGTGCAATCTTAGGAAATATATTTGATAGAAGTTCAGTGAAAACTATATAGTTCCGAACATGTAGACCAAGAATTTTTTTACATTTTGATAATTTATGACCATTTTAAAGCCACCAATCAGACCTCACTCAGGTTAACTGTGGGGCTATTGCTCCTGGATCTCTGGGATTGGACCTCAGTGATCGATCGTTTCGGGGCTGGTATTTTGATCATATTGAGTCCTCCGAAGAAAAAGTTGACATAGGTGTCGCAGATCAAAAGCAAGACAACCGTCAGTTGGGCCAAAAGAGCATTAATTACAGATGGATGTGTAGTCGGCCAATTAGCGTGATGTGGAACGAACACAACATAGAACGAAACGACAATATTGCAGATGAGCATCACGCAGGTGAAAATTGACCGAATTTCTTGTCGACCAAAGGAGCTCAGTGCCTGCAAGCTGGAGAGGATTATCAGCGAGGGAATCAGTAAATGGATCAGCACTAGGAGTGGCATCGGTCCGCTCCAGGAATCCGGAAGGAAAAGCCGTGCAGTGTTAGCCGAATAGGTAAAGCTGCACATCCAATGTCCAGTTCCCAACAATGAGACATAAAAGTAAAGAAGAATCGAAACAGCGAAGCGATAGGACATCTGTACATGCTTTGAGGGAGTCAGTAGCCTTTGCTCCTTGACCTCATCGTCCTCCTCTGCTTTCCTGCTCTCCTTGTGCACTTCAATTCCCATTTGATACTCTATGATCAATCCCTGGGCGAAGAGGGATGTGTATGAATCACTTAGGAGTGCATGGAGCGTCAGCAAGTTGAAGCAAATCAGTTGAAGGCGAGATCGGGGACTGGAAGTGCCACTGTAAGGCAGCGATGCAAAGGCATAGATGAGGTACGTCCAGTTGGCAGCCATGATATATATGGGAACCGGCATGCCCATCTTCCTAAGCATGATTCCAATGCCTCCAATAACCAGTATGCCTATGTTAATGATCCACACGCTCCATTTGTGATTTTCGTTGCAAAATAAAGGACGCACGATCACCAGCAACATGCTGATGGCCTGCAGGGTCACCCGATAATTGGTGTTCATCAGGATCTGCAATCCCTTCTGGGACCACAGGAATCCACACAGCAGGATGACGAGTGCCAACCAGGCCAGAAATTTCGCAGAGGGATGCACCCAGCCACGTCGATTGTAGAAGATGACACATACGGCATAGGTCAGGGTACAGGGACAACGGCAGTAGAGCGCCAGAACGATCATTGCAGCGGGGGCCAATACCCATCTTAGGTGGGCCAGCGGTTCAAATATCCAGTTATCCTTCAAGGGACACTCGGCCAGGGTCATACACCAGATGCCAAAGGGCACAACCAGGCAGATAACCGTAAGAAATGGAGCCCATTGCAGGAATACCAGTTGACCCAGCAAAAGTCCCAGCGAAGCTAGGACAATCGTGCTCCATGTGAAATAGCCCCTGCGTTGATCCTTGGAGTCCCGTGAGTTTTGGGAGATCTTCACCGTCAAGTATAACTGCCAGCCCAAAAGTGCCAGCACCGTGGTGACCACCAGTGGGATGTGGTAGTATCCATAGTAAAACTTCAAGGCCTCTTGAGCCACTTCAATCGCCAGTATGCTCGTCTCCATGGCCTTGCCTCGCCAACCCATGTCCCCGAGGTGGTTCATCTGGTTCTGATAGTGGGCAATCCTTTGCAGATCCAGGTCCTTGGACTTCGGCAGCCACTTGTGGAAAACTCCAAGCTCGTGGCGACGAATTATGGCCTTGGCTTGGGCCAGAAGTTGCAGAGCATTCAGATGCATTGCCTTTCTCTCGTATTCCCGGGATACCTTTATGTACTCCAGTGGCAGCTTGGCCAGATTGTTGACCGGTGGCGGAAGGCCAATCAAGGCGGACATAAGTGGGGCCAACTGGATCTGGTCCAACTTGTGGAGCGGCAAACTACCACTGCTATTGTTGACCACCAAATTGTGGGAAACATTTGTGGCCATGCGATTGATGCCGACGCCCCAAAGAAAGAAGGGTGTATTCCTCTCTTCATCCGATCCGCCGCCATGGGAGCCTGAAAACCGAATATTTTGACATTTTGCAAAGCTAAAACAAATACCCTAGATAGGATACTCACCGAAATTGCTAAGACCGTGGGCTGAGGTGAGAAGGTAAGCAGTTTTCCAGTCATTAAACTTGCCCTCGATCAAATCGTAGGCATCTCGGATGCTCCGCTGGGCATTGTGTAGCTTCTTTTGATATTCAAGATCCAGGGGACTGGCTCCACCCACATCGCCCATGTATACGAATATCACGACTCTAGTGCGATTCTTTAACATTGTCAGGCAAGCATTATTCATCAGGCGGGCTCGAAGATCTGTGATGTTCGTGAAGCTGAGAACAGTTCCCTCGTCGGAGCCCAAGGTTCGATTGAAGATTGTGTCGAATTTATCAGTCGGCAGTAGCGGTGGCACCCCATTGAATCCAGCGAATAGGGCCACTTGGGCGGATGTGGTCAGAGTCGGAACACTTGCTTTGGATATCCCCACCACACCATCGCGCATAACTATATCCCGCAGGTAGGAAGCCCGGCTGCAGTTGTGTGAGAAGAGCGTGTCCGCCCGGAGTCCTTCCACAAGGAAGATGACCAGGCGATCGGCGGGTTGGGGTAGGCCCATTTCCGAAAGAGTCTTCTGCGGTTCCAGGTGATCCAGCGGTCCGGTCTGATTGTATATACGCCACAAGCACGCGATCAGCAGAAGGTGCACCACCACAGCCTGCGCTTTCCACATCTTTATCAGATTTTTTACAATTTTAACCAATCGATATTTAAGACGACGACACAACAGAAACACGACGATGTAACACATTGGCGACAACTGGGAAACGTTTAAAGCAGCGCCAACTTCGTCTCCTTAATAATCATTTTCAAAAAGCCTTAAATTTACAAAGTTCCTGAAAACAAAAGCCCTGAGAATACAATCTGCTTTTTCCTAAAAATAGGATTTATAGATTAAACATTATTAAACTAATATAAGAAACATTTAAATATTCTTTAAAATATTCTTCCTTATATAAAAAACAAAATAAAGTTCAATCAATATTTACATTTTAATACAGTTTTTTATTTCGATTAAGTTTCAGAGAACACGGCATTCACAAATCAGGTTACCAGAGTTAAACTTTGACAGCAATTGCAGAGTGAAGTCTAAAAAAAGTTTAGGGATCTGTCAAGACACTTTAATTTGTAAAACAATGTTGAGTTCCTACCAAAGTTTTGCGCGGTATCAGCTGCTTCTGCTGCTGTCAGTTGTATTGATTTACCTTCTATCGACATCCCCTGGCAGCTTGGAACCTCAGAAAATAGAGCCGCTAAAGGAGCCTCCGCCGGCCGATCGCCTGGTGGTTCTCGTGAGAGATGGCCTATCCGCTCAGACTTTCCTAGCCAACCGATGCCGGAACGTGCCACTGCTGCGGGAACTCTTTCTGCATCAGGGTTTGGTGGGGATTAGCCGTCCGGAGACCACCACCTACCACCCGATGTCCCCGTACATCTCCCTGTTTTCCGGGTTCAATGAGGATGCGGCCATAGTGGCTCGTGGCTGGCTGCGAAATCCAGACCCCCCTGACTCAATATTCAATCGATGTAATCACAGTTTTGCGTGGACCTCATCGGAGGTTATAACGCGCTTTCCCAAAATCAAAAGACCTGTGGCAATGAACTTTGAAAACTTTGCTTCGGACGTAACCAAATCCTGCTCCGAAATGGAAGAATCCGTATGTCGGTCTGTTGACAGATTTCTACGTGGGGCATCCCGACAATTGCTGAATTCCACGGGAGTCATATTCTTTGTCCACATGACCGGTGTGGAACCATCCTGCGAAAGCCTTCAACTGATTCAAGAAAATGTGTGGAACCTGTATCAGCGCTTTGAAAAGTCGTTTCCCGACCAAAGAACGGCTTACTTATTCACTTCCAATCTTGGCGACCCACAAACTGAAAGTACGTTATTTATTAATTTAATAATATTAACATTCACGGATATTTCTTTAGCAGGTGAATGCAGCCTGGCAGTTGAATCTCCTTTCTTCCTTTGGGGTTCAGGAGTGGCTCATGTAAAATCCATGCCAGGACGCAGCTTTGTGGCCAACGACTCGGGTTATAGGCTGCCCCTGCATGTCCTCAATCCCCGCATCTCACAGCACTTATGAGTGCCTTGCTGGGATTGCCACCTCCAGTTCACAGTCGCGGAATGTTACCGCAAGGAATGCTCAACACCAGTAAGCGTTATGAGGCCAATGCCATGCTGACCAATGCCAAGCAGCTCCTGGCCCAAGCTCGCCGTTTAAGGGAGCTCCATCCTAAAAGGATGCCCGCCTTTTGGCTGGACTTTCAGATGATGGACAGCTTTTTAAAGGCTTCTGAAGGCCTCAAGAGACAACATCGTTTCAAGGCTCTTCTGGAGTATAGCTGCAACTTTATGCCTGTGCTGGTCAAGGGAATGGATTACTTTAAGGACTACTATCGCCAAGTCTTAGTCTGGGCAGTTAGCTTTGCTGGAATAGGCTGGCTATATTGCCTACGCTGTCATCTAACAGTCGGACGAAAGTGCAGAAACGACTTGGAAATCCAGGGGCTAACCTCTTTTAAGTGGTTGGTGTTTATCAGGGGAATCCATCGATTGCTGACTGGATTGCTGGTGATATATATGCTGCTCGAAAGGATTCCCTGGTTGGTGCAAGCTATCCTACTCATGCCTTCGCTGTATTGGAAGGTGACCATAAATGTTGTGGGCGAAAGGCCTAAGATGGTGTGCCGGAAGAGTTTGATTTCTTCAGCCTTACTAGCACTGATCTGCTTGGGTGGCTTCTTCAGACGTTACATCATGGCAGTGGGCTACCTGGGATTCGCTGGCTACACCAACAGAGATGCCTTTCGGAAGCGCGGACTGCAGTTCTACCTGTGGCTACTTCTGCTCCTGGGACTCACCTGTATATCGGTACTTCCGGAATCGTTGGGATGCTCGCAGCCCAGAGCTCTGATTCTCAGCATCCTACTTACTCTTCTACGTCCTTTGGCTTGTGGGGTGTATTTTAACCTAATCACCTGGCTTAGCAACATCGTAGTGCTCCTCGCGGCCCTAGAGTACATCCTGGTGGGCTGGCATCCCTGGGCCACGTATATGGCCTCCTGGATCTATCTGGGCTATGTGGCCTTCTGGCAGCGACGCAATCTTCAGGCCACCGAACTAGTGTTCTTCAACCTTAGCACGCTCTACACCCTCACCTGCACCTCTTATGAACCGGTGGTCATCCAAATGCTGGCCATGGAACTGCAACTGGGGCTGAGGATGAAGCTGGAGAGGAACGAGGGAATTGGACCCAAGACTGCCGCTCATTACATACTTGTGTACAGCTGGTACTCCCTTTTCGCCATTGGCAGCTTCCCAGCCTTCGATGACTTCCAGGAAATCCTCCACGAAACCTGCTTTGGTTATTTGCCACTGACCTATGGTCTGGTTATGGTAATGAAATTGCTGCTACCCTGGCTGCTGGTGCTCTGCATCCTGGTGGGAAACTACAAGGACCTTGGTTCACACGAGCGCCATATTTTCGTGAGGCTGCTCTTCGTGAGCAGTGCCATGTCGCTGGTTCTTCTGCAGCGGCTCACTGGCGTTGGACCCTGGAGAGAAATCCTCAGCAGATTCGCAGAGTTTGCGGTGGTTATGGTTTTCCCACTCGTTTGGCTGCTGATGTGGCGACTGGCGCAACTTAAAGTGGGCTCCAAGTGGATGTCCCAGCTCTCCGGAAGAGTTACTATTCGTTAATCCTAAAATAGTTAATGGCGGAGAAGCCTTTAAAAGAATAAAGGATTCTTAAAAACTCAAATAAATAATGATGATTTTTAACAATAATTGAAACAATAATTGAAATTAAGTAAGTCTAAGATTAAGAATCATTTTAAACAGGTAAGCTAGTGTAAAAAACCATATTTTAGTTATAAAAGGGCAAAAATGATAGCACTTGTCGAAAATAGGCCAATGGTATTTCCAAACAACTTTTGAATATTTTGTAACGAACGTTTAAAACTTCTGGCAGCCCAAAGGAAATGCCTTCAACGTTGCCATACTGTTGCTGGACTAGTAACTATCGATAACTGTATCGGCTATCGCACAGTAGTTGCTTCTTTGCCATCGCCAATCTCGCTCTCCCTTATTTTGCATAGAAAATAAACAAAAAGCTCTGCGGAAATAATGTTTTCACAATAAAATCCAACACATTTGTGCTGGCGCAAGTGTGTGCAAGGATATCGAACCGAAAAAGAAATCAAAAACCTTCGTGAAATATAAGTTATTGCGCATTCCACGGAAGCAAATACCAGAAGTAGCAGCAACAACAACAACAACGAGAACAGCATAGCAAAAGGTGAGGCAAAAAGTTTACATGTGAATGTGGGGGCGGGCGGTATAGGAAAGGTACACTGTTAATAACAACAATTGAACTGTATTGTGCACACACTTACACACACGCAGGTATTGCTTGCTCATTTTGGAGCGCGTAGGCAAAATGGCAGCCCAAATTGCCAGCTAAGATATGAATGGGCTCGAATAGTTTAGTCTCCAACACGCCACTCACCACCCACCGCCCACCCACTAAGGTGACGCGCCGCCGCCGAGGTTTGCGATCTTATTCTATCACTCGGAGCCCCTCGCAATTCGATAAGGGTTCTCGTTCCGTTTGTCGATCGTATCGGTAGGCCTCGAAGGCCGCAATTTGTCGTCTATATCACAGTCATTATCAGATTGCATCTGTGTGCGCGCACTGCGTTTTTCCCCTTTCGCTGATTTAGTACCCTATTCTACATAGCGTATGATGAATTTGATCGAAGTTTGTAACGAACTTTTTGTAATCCTATAAACTGAAGTCAAACACGAACACAGCTTTACAATGTTTGGTTCTGATCCAATAAATAACATCAAATGTTTTTTTAAACTATTTTTACCTAGCATATTTAGTCTCGATCTTCTACATTTTCTGGATTTAAGAACCTAATACCAAACCACAATGATTTAAGTAAAAATAAACGAAACTTCCCTTATAATTTTTTAGTACTCAGCACTATTTTACCTCTATTATTATTTAAATTTTTGGGGGCACATGTTTTATTCTTGATCAGTTTAACCAGTCGAGTTTTCATAAAACTCTCACAGTACTGCACTTGTACACTTTTACAATAGTCTTTTTTCGGCCTAGATAGTTTAGATTTCGTGTAAATTGTATAAGTAAAACACGTTGAACCGATCGATGCCTAGTTTAGGGTACAATAAGTCTCGGTTTTCCAGAGTCTAGCCCTTGTATCTGGCTTCTTTTGTCTTGATATTGCAATTCTTCAGCCACTTGTTCTGGCGGAGACACAGTTGCCTCAATTAGTTGTTGTTTTTGTGGCTGCCACTGAGGTGAAGTGAGTTGCTCATTAAGCAAACTCGAGCATCCGGCGATGCATGTGGAAATGGAAGTGCCACCGGCAGCAGCCCGTGCCCCGTTGTCATTAAACATGGGAGAATCGAGTGGATATATACTAACAACTTTCACTGTCCCATTCTGTTTGTGGGCATCTGCTGATGAGTAATTACAGCGTCCCACCGATTAAATCCGATTAGGGGCCAATCAACATGTGTTTACGACCCTCTTAGATTCAATTTTACTAAGTGATCGGATATGATATCGTTCAGATGGTAGACATTATCTTTTCTGTATTTTTCAAATCTAAGCTGTAGTGTCAGCCGCTTAAAAATGATCCAAGAAGATTCAGTGTGACACCGTAGCCATCGTATTTCATGGTCAATTAGTAGTTATCTCCCCGTAATAGCCTAATTTTATGTTCACTCACTTGATAGCGATAACGTTTCGAGATTGCCGAAAAATGAATGTGGCACATCAAAAAGATTAATACCCTTCACGAGAGAGGGAAAAGTAGTGCACTTAATTGCGCACTTGTCGCTATCCAAGTACAGAGAGGTTCTCCCGGGGCTATTTATCTATACCTCTGTACCAGTGAATTTACATACACAATTAGTGGGTGCTGTTAGTGGGCGTACATGCTGATCGTGTAACGATTTGTGCTTTCAGTTCACAGTCGCTGCGGCCGGAGAGCTGGCGTTGGCGATGGCCACGGCACCACGATCCCTGGACACCATCTCCCTCTGCTCGACCGTCTCCAGCTGCCCGGACCGAAATGGCTTCTATGGCGGATTCCAGCGCACCGACAAGCCCAATGAGCCGCTGTCCAAGGCGCAGATCATCGCGCGGGAGAAAAAGTGGCTCTACATGATCGACAACTGGTCCATTTACATGTCCAAGAACTACAAAAAGGTGAGCTTTCATCCCTTGTGTGGTTTCCTAAAGAAAGAATCACAAAACTTAAATATTTTAATGGTAATTTTTATTTACATGAATAGTTAGCTTATTTTCATGCTAATCAACTAAGTGAACAGTATTCCGACGAAAAATATTATATTCAAATATAATGTAGAGCCCTTTTAAAACTATAAAGTGAACAATAAAGCATATTTGTGTCTATTTTTTTGAACTTTTTAATGTTTAAAAGACACTCTTCGAATTGTATCATCTCTTAACGAAAAATATATACGTTTCAACTGCACAAAAATCTCAAATCATATAAGAAACTAACTCCTATCTTTATCATGCAGATTCGAGATCGATGTCGCAAGGGTATCCCCAAGTCAGTGCGGCCCAAAGCTTGGTTCTATTTATCCGGGGCGTATCTGCTAAAGAAGAAGAACCCCAACGTATACCAAGAGTTGCTGGAGAAGCCCGGAAACCCAACGACCATTGAGGAGATCAAGAAGGACAAGCATCGCCAGTTTCCGTTCCACGAAATGTTTCTCGACGAGCAGAAGGTCGGACAGATCGAACTCTTTAACGTGCTAAAGGCCTACTCGATATACAATCCCAAGGTGGGTTTCTGCCAGGCGCAGGCACCAATAGCCGCTTTTCTATTGATGCACCTGCCCGCGGAGGACGCCTTCTGGGTTTTCGTCAGTGTTTGTGATGTGTAAGTCTAGTTTCTTTTATTTAATAAATGAATCTAAACAGTTTAACCATTAACTTAAATTTTATTTTTAGCATTTTTTCGCTGATATGAACTTGTTATCCTTAGCTTCTGTTTCAAATTAATTTTTTTCTGATTTATTTTCGCAGTTACCTGCAGGATTACTTCATACCCGGCTTGGAGGTGATCCAAAACGATGCGGGCATCCTGGAAGGCCTGCTGAAGAAGACGTGCCCGCCCGTGTACCGGCACTTGCAAAAGCACAAAGTGGAGCCGCTGCTCTACATGACCGACTGGTTCCTGTGTGCAATGACCCGCACTCTGCCTTGGGAGACGCTGCTTCGCGTTTGGGACTGTTTTCTGGCCGAAGGCATTCGGGTCATCTTCAAGGTAGCCCTGGTCATCATTGGGGCTTCGCTAAGTCGGCACAAGGTCAGAAAGACGTGTACCGGTCTCTGCGAAACGCTGGCCGTTCTGCGCTCCCCTGAGGAGCAAATCGTGGAGGAGGAATTCATCATCAACAATATGATGCGGCTCAACCTGCGCGTCGAGGACTTCCAGATCGAGCATACGCGCCAAAAGGCTCGACGGGCCAAGCAGAAGGCCCAACAGGAGGCAGAGTCCAGTGGCTCCGGAAACGGGCATCGACGCAACATGCCAACGTTGTGAGGAATCGCAACTACTACTACTTCAACAAATTGTTACTAAACACACAAACAACACAGCATAGTTGCATAAGATTTGTACGTTTAAAGTCGAATAGGAGGCAGGTCGTGCACAAAGTGGATGGGAGATGAGTGACCGCAAACTGGTTCAGTCAGTTGGTCAGTCAATTACGGAGACATCATTCCATGCAATCAGTTTGCCTAATTTTAAGACAATTCTTTTGTTGAGCACATTCGGGCTGGACTTGTATCGGTATTTGTTTTCGTATTATTCATTTAGTGGCAATTATTACAAGCGTGCAATTTGTTTATGCTTTTCAAAAGTATTTATTACATATTTATTATTATTGTGTAACATTTAAAGCATTAGCGTTAGAGTTGAGTTGAGGACCCCGAACATATCGTATGATTATTATCACCACCCTAAGGCAGCTGACACAAGGACTTGAGGATAGGATAATATAGTTTGGAATTTTTACTATTTTATCCGTATTTTCTCCGAGTCGAGAATGTTGATATTTACCTACGATAATGCGTTACGAACGACTTCTGTTGTGCCCCGAGCCTAAAAAGTTTGGAGACCTGTTTTGTGGCGGGTTTTTAGGCAAAATTAATATTAAACTTTATTACTAATAAAACCAATTATACCGAAATATTAACAACAAAACTTAGTTTTTCTCTATAGCCAAAAAAAATGTTGAAGCCCATTCCAAGAAGAAAAGCTTACGTTGTTGTAGAATTAAATGTTTTATTTATTAACATTAATTAAACAGAGACAGACCCCAACTTTTTTGATGACTAATTTCTTATTGGCCTGACGGGTATATAAATCCAACGCTTATTGAAATCGTAAAAATATATTTATAATATTTATTTTATTTTAATTTTGATAATATCAGTTATTTTTCATAAAGATTAGGCTGGGAAATAAATATCTTAAGTACTTACAACTAGTAATTAAAAAGGGTTGCCTAAAGTTAAACTATAGCTAAGAGTCCAAAATAAGAGTTTGTCTGTATCTATAGGTAATCTCTAAGAATACTTTACTTAATCTCATGAAAGAGCAGCCCATAGGGGCAACTATCAGATTCTGCCTACCACTGGAAGTACAAGTGTTGGGAAGTGGATTGGGTTAATTCGATTTGTGTTAAAAAAAAACTGATACATCAGAGTGGCAACATGCAATCTTCGTCTTTTAAAACGAAATACAAATAAATTAATACCTAAAAAAATGTCGAATTCGATTTGAGTTTGGCACTTTTTCCTAAACGACAGTATTATTATTTTTGAATTTTTAAAATATCTAAGATTGAAAATTTCTAAAAATTAGGAAAAATACTTTTTTAATGCTATTTTGACATTAAAATTTTACTTTGGCAAGTAAATGTAATGTTATTTAAGGGCCAAACTTTAATGTTTGGTGTAATCACGAGATAAAATATCAGAACAATTAAGGTACCCGTAACAAAAAAGTTGAGTTATAAAAATGTTTGGGAAACAATGACAAAATGTCCAGTAATTTCGAGACTTTTTAGAGATTCTATGTAAATGTAAGATTCTTTAAAAAATACAACTTTGCTCAAAAGATTACATGCTGCCACTAGGAGTTTTGTCGAATAAATCAATGATTTTTTTGTGATCCTAGCCCAGCAGATACTGGTCTTCGATTTCTTCCCCATCGTCCAATAAATGCGGCGGCAGCGGCATATACGGTCCTGAATCCTGAGCAGCCTGATTGTCTTCTTCTGCGGGCAGTTCTGAGGCGTCCTCCTGCTCCTTCTCCTCCAGGACGATCTGCTCGCGGAGTAATATCATCTCGCCTTCGCCCACGGTTGGATGGTGCTTACGGAGATGTTGTTGCAGCTCACGAAGGCTGTGAAACTCGCCCGCCGTTGCTGCACCCGCATCGTCGCTTTGCTTGCACAGTTTGCAACGTATGTAGGCTGCGTGGGGCAGGTGCTGGAATCGGTGGAACTGCAACACCCACTGTCGTTTCGTCTGCAGCTCCTCGTCACAGTCCTGGCAGCGGTAGAGGTCCTCGCTTACCTTGTTCATGTGCAAAAGGTCCAGCTTTGCCAGACCGTGGTAGTCGTTGATGTGCTCGCGCCACTGCTTTTTGTTGCGGGTTGTGAAGTTATCGCCGCACTGCGGACACGCCATGTGGTAAATGGTGCGCAACTGCGTCTCCTGATCCGCCTCCTCGTCTTCCAAGTCCCGGTGAGGGCGATTGTCACACCGATTAGTGTCGCGATTCAGGTGCTTGAAGAACATTTGTTTGCGCACAAACTCCCCGTCGCAGGTTAAACACTTGAAGGATCGGTGCGGCAGATGGCGGAACTTGTGCGACTGCAGCTGCCCTATGGCGCCCTTGGTGTGGGTCACGGTCACCCGCTTGTAGCACTCAAGGCACAGGTAGTGATGGTTGTCAATTTGCCGGAAGTTTAGGCCCTCGCGGCTGTTGAAGTTGTGCTGCTCCACAATATGCTTGCGCCAAAAAGCATGCGAGTCAAAGTTCTGGTTACACTTGGGACAGAAGTATGTAATGAAGTCCAAATCCACTGCATTGTGGTACGATATGCTGTCCTCTAGCGTGTTGAGACCAGCGGGTCGGGTGGGTAGGCCACCGGGTTGTGGTTTAAGAGAGCGACTGGTCGCCGCGGAGGGGACAGAGGTAGAGCATCCCGGTGGAGACGGCGCAGGGGGAGGAGGAGAGGGTAGTCTGGGCTTCTCCCTACTGCTACTCTTGTAGCGGCCGAACACGTGCTTCGGCTTGGTGATCATCACCGGAGTCTCCCTGTCGTATATACTATGACGGGCTCTTAAATGTGCAGCTATGTTCGGCTTGTGATTATAGCAAGTGCCGCAGATCAGGCACTTAAGATACAGTCGGTAGGGAAGGTGGCGGAAGTGGTGGTCCTGCAAACCCTTCAGCTTTGAGTTGCACACTATGTCCTTGCACTGGGTGCACTGGTAGCGATATTTATCCAATTGCCTCATGTTCAGATACTGTCGCTTGTCAAAGTTGTGAACCTCGTTGATGTGGCGTCGCCACTCGAACTGCGTCTTGTACTCCATGCCGCAAGAGGGACAGAGGAAGATGTAGTTTTGTTCGACGGTGGGAATGGATGGGTCCGAGTTAGCCGTTGCCTGTCGATGCCTTCTGCCCACTGTCTTTCGGCAACGTTTCTCGCTAATGTGAACCCGGACGGCCGCCTGGGTGGGGAAAAGTGTGCCGCAGTGGACGCATTTATAGCGATGATGGTTGCCTTGTACCGATGGCGGCGGTGGTGGTGCAGGCGCCGCAGTTGGATAATCCTCCTCTTCCGCCTGCATTTGTTCGCCAAAGTCGTTCTCCTCTTCCATGCTGCCCTGCTCCAGGTCATCCAAGTAGATTATCTCGTACGTTTCATTGGCGACCGTCACGATCTGCTTGCGAGGTTGCTTGGTGGGAGTGGGCGTCTGAGCTGGGGCGCCAACTCCACCCACTGACTTTCGTGGCCCACAACCAATGCGATGATATGTAGCAAGATGCTTGACAAGACCCTTTCTGTCCGTGTAGGACTTGTGACACTTGCGACACCTGGCATACGCCTTGAACGGAAGATGCGTGATCCTGTGCTGCTGGGCATTCTGGATTCCATAAGCGTTCGTGATTATCTTCTCACACTCGGTGCACTTTAGCTGCCGCTCGTTGATCATCTCGAAGTTCAGCTTGGACAGATCGTTCATGTTGTGCGCCATAACCACGTGGGTGCGCCAGTGCTTCTTCTCGATGAACTCTTTGCCGCACTGCGGACAGAGGTAGTCGATGTGAGGCTCGTAAATATCGTCACTGCTAATGCGACCGCCACGTCTTGGTGCGTCTTCAAAGTAGGGCGAATCCTCGTCCAAGAGGGCGTTATTTCCCTCACCGTTTCCATTGTCTTCGAAGCATTCATCCTCCGTCATTATCGCCATTGGAGCTTCCTCTTCCTCGGCGTCCTCTGACATAAGCGTATCCATATGGTGCTGCTGCAGCAGATGCCTGACCACTTCTTGATGATCCGAATAGCCCTTGTAGCAGAGTTTGCAGCGCAGCCACTCAGGCTGAGATAAATGGCTGAATTTGTGGGCGCGCAGTGATTTGATGGTGTTGGGGGTTACAATCTAAAAGATATAAATAAAGTCCTTATAAATATTTCCGAACAGTCTTCTGACAAACCAGCTATAGTTTTAAAAAACCAATTTTTTAATTTAATTTAAAATATACGGAGCAGACCGTTTGTTTGGCCAGTCTAAGTTTACCTTTTTGCATTCGAGGCACTGCATCTGCATGTCTACGCTCCGGAAATTAAGTCCCCGCCGGCTGACATAGTCGTGTACGAACTCGATGTGCTGGCTCCACTGGGCGTGGGTGTCGCACTCCGTACCGCAATCGGGGCACATGTAGTGAATGTAATCCTCGCATAGCTCGGCAGCTCCTCGATTGCCAGCAACCTTTTTTTTGGAAACCTCCTCGGGTAAAGACTGATCAAATGTGCCAGACTCATCAGCATCCGGCTCTAGCAGCTCGTTCCGCACCTCTATACGATCCAAGTCTTCCACAAAGTCATCATCCTCGCGGAAGCTCTTTTCCCGCTGCAACTGCTCAGTGCGCGATTCCCGCACCCGTGTCTTGCGTCCCGCCGCGTTGTATCCCTCCCGCATCATGGCCACCACTTCATCGCAGTGTACCATACGCAGGTGCACCATTAGATCTTGCCTGTCATGGAAAATCACGTTTAGCATGAGACTCTGAAAAGGATAGTCCGAGCATTACCTGTATTTGTACTCCCGCTTGCAGATGTAGCACTTGGTGCACCTAAAAGGCAGGTGAGTAAACTTGTGCTTCAGCAGGTTTTCGCGGCTGTGCATGGCGATCCGCTTGTTGCACTCTCTGCAGCGCTGGTAAAGCTTGTCCAGCGGCGAGAAGTTCAAGCCCCGCAGAGTATTATATTTGTGGATGTGGTTCATGTGCCGCTTCCAGTGGTCCTGTTGCCGGAACTCTCCACCGCAGGCGGGGCAGATGTAGACCACGCCCAGCTCGTAGTTAATGGGCACCCCATTTTCATCCGTGGCGTTAATCTGTGAGGTGGTGGGCCGCACTGAGAGTCCGGGACCTAATCTAGGACGACCAAGAGTACCGGGGACTGAGTGCCGCTGCATTGGTGGGCGCACTTGAAGACCCATCGGTCCTGCAGGAGCCAAAACCGGTTGCTGTGACTCCGATATGTTTACAATGGGTTCCATATCGAAGTCAAAGAGGGCATCGTCGTCAGGATCGGGCTGTTTTGCTTCCTTGGTGCTGCCCTCGTAGTCATCCTCCTCCTCTTCGCCATCCAGAAGGTCATCGATTGCATCGCCTGCTTCCAGGATCTCCGAGTCGCACAAAAAGTCGTCATTGCCGTTGCCAAACTGCTCACTGTCCTCCAGTTCCGCCTCCCCGCCCTCTGGCCCACCCTCACCCTCCTCGAAATCCGAGGAGAACATTGACGTCCACAGATCCATGATTTTGGCCAGAGAAGATGTTTTCGTGCGACAGCTTGCGTCTTTAGCAGGTTTTCGGTGTGTAAGTGCGTGTGCGTGAGAACTAGTTTTCGTATCCTATTCCACAATTGGTCAAGAAGACGGCTGCATGGTTTTTCACTTTGTAGACCTCTACTGCGGTTTTCCAGAGCCCAGCTTCCATCTTAACCCACGCAGCACTTGCACACTCGGAACGTTGTCAGATTGCATCTACTTTTCGACCACTACGGCATCGAAAATATGGCAAAAACTACAACTTTTCTTAGTCTGCAAAAATCAGAGCCATTTTGTTTGCGGCGACAAACGGTCACGGGCCGCGAATAAACTGCGACGGCGTGATGCAGCGTTGCCAGACCTCGACATTGGGTATCGATAATATCAGCATCGCAGCAATCGATAGTATAACGGTTTTTTTAAGACCTAGCCAGAAGTTATTTATTTTCCATATCCGTTATATTTTTGCAAACTTTTAATGTTGTATTGAAAATGAAAGCCTTTAATCTATATACCCTAATCAATTAGTTTCAACCAGTATCTCGTTTAAAAAATCTTAAATAAAATCGCTTTTGTAAGACTAATCATTTGTCGTTTTTAAAAATAGCCATTCTCATTTTCACTTTTTTCATATCCTTTAAATTTTTGCTCAAATCAGTTTCGAGTAGTATCTCGTTTTTAAATAGATCTTTAGCAAAAACGCTTTTGAAAGATGAACAAGGTAACGGTCAAAGTGTACAATTCCCAATAAAGAATTATTTACTCAATGGGTCAAAAAAGTGCCCACCAAAATGCGAAATTAAATTCAAAATGCATAGTTATGTACGAAAGGTTTTTATTGAACAAAGATTCGCGCTTGAATTTTGTATTTTTACACTTAATTAGTACGTGCACATTAGTACGTACAGTGGTACCGTTTAAATTACATATTTAATGTAATGTAATACAATGTATATTATGTATGTGTTTATGTGAGTGTTCGTGTGAATGCGGTTGGTATAAATATAAATATAGATGTGGCGTGTAGTATGCAACTAGAATTAAATCGAAGGTCCAAAAGTGATTGAAGGATCCCATCCGGCCGCCGCTCGCATCCTTGCTTCCCGCTCCCTTTTCTTTTCACACACACACGCATGCACACACCGGGGTGATGTAGGTGTCCTACCTAACCGGAATATCATATAATATGCAGGTGCTGACGGGCGGGGATCGGATGCTTCAACGTGGGCGTATCTTGTGGGGGCTACGTGCTACACGCGTTACATGGAATTACACGAACTAAGGAATTTAAATTACAGATTTGCAATGGGGTGGTGATGGTGGTGGTTGGTAGTGATAGGTAAAGTGCGTCGGCCGCTTAAATGTGGTTGATTAATTCTCGTTTGGGTGTACAGCATCGATGCATGCGTTTTCTGCATCTTCAGATCGTTGAGCAATTGTTATTCTCTCGCTTAAATATTCGTTGGCCATTTCTCCAATCTGCCATTCGGTTTTCTGAGCTGTTTTTCTTGGATGCGGGTAAGGGTTATGCGTAATATTATATGGGTAGTATGATTTTTGCTTGTTTTGTTGCTTTTTTTCTTATGGTGTCTCGTCCCGCCAACGGCCCCACATTGCTTGTGCTGGGATCAGAGCAATTCCAGTCGTCATTACCAGAGTCCCGACGAGTAGCCGCCTGGTGGGACACGGTTCTTGTTGATCACCGGAGTGCCGCCATTGGACGATTCCTGGCGCTGGTGGAAATCGTTGCCTCCTGCCTTGTAGCCCTCGCCTGTGACGGGGTTGCCCTCTGCGGAAATTTATAGAATAAATTAGTATCTTGAACTTGTATAAAATGTAGCTAATTAGCTTATGTATAAAATATATATAAGAAAGTGGTTTAACATCTTTCCCAGTACGTTGAATGTGGGATTGGGGCAAGGAAGTGATTGGGGTCAGGCAATAATGCACTTATTGAAAAAATTGGAATCTTTTAAAATGGAAGCAAAGGGAAGTAGCCACCATAACATGTCGCCCACCTCGGATCTTGAGCTTTCTCGGCTTGAGACCGCCAACACCATCTCCATTAAGACCAAGACCCGTGATAGGATTGCGAGAACCTATCTTGGAACACTCTTGCTCCACTTCCTTAACGTCATTCGGGCAGAGCCCCAGAGGCTCCTTTAAATCCGGTACGCCCTCCATTTTGTTCAGCGAATACGGCCGGTCAGGATTAACTCCTGTGTCGCTGCGCGTTTGATTGGCTTCGTCTACCTTATCAGACTCCGTAAAGGTCGAGTTATCTGCTGGCACGTCTCCTACTTCGCTATCCCGGCAAGAATTGTCGATAGATAGAGCGTCGGTCTGGGGAACTGGACGGACGATGGGCACTGGAGGAGTTTGGGGACACAAGGAATCACGTTCGAGGGGAGATGATTGTTTGTTATCTAGTCCTGCTGCTGGGCAAACGTAAAGGAGGATCGATGGCAGGCGGATCGGGAATGAGGAACAAGTCCTAGTGGACACTGGATACTACAAGTACTCACTGCTCATATTGCGAAAGACTGACCCGGAACAGAGTTGTTAGCCAAGATTGTGATGGTTCAGAGAATTTCGAGTTTCGGTTTAATGTTTTTAGTGCGAGTGCAGTAAAAAATATATACAAATATATAAATGGAGAAGAACGTAATTCACAACTTATTTAGATGGAAAAAATTTTGTTCAAGCGCTGTAGTGATAATCGGTGTAGCTACTTGGTGCTCTGGGCTCGTACTGAACGGAATCCCAGCCTTTGGCTGGCTCACCCTTCTGACAGCTCCGTACTTGGACCGAGTTCAAATCCAGCGACTACTACTATTTAACCAATGCCAAGTGGGCGATTCTCACCTGATCTCGAGCCGTTGTTCATCTTGAGGTTCTCAGTCGAGGACGACACCGAAGACGAGGCAGAGGACACCGATCCGCTCTTGCCATTGTAGTGGCCATTGGTGGTCAGCAGCTTTTGGGCGGCGGCTGCCTCTGAGTTCTGCCCGCCAAAGGGAATGCTGCTCTTCATGTGGTTCTTGCCGGGCGTGATCGGGCGGTTGGGTTCCCCAAACAGCCGAGAGTGAGAGTCGACGGTCTTCTGGCCGCGACGTGGTGCATCACCTGCGCATCATCATCATTGCGGGGGTAACAAATCCAAATAGGGAAAAAACAAATTGGGGAAACCAAAGAAAATAAAACAATCAAATTAGTGGAGTTGTGGTGGAGTAGAATGTTAGAATTAGTTTCTTAACTGTGTTTTACAAACATGTACATAATTGGGACAGTGGATGGGTGAGTACACTGAGAAAATGTCATAAAATGCTAAAAACAATATGCGCCATTGTTACAAATAAAAGAGTGTTCCTTATGTCTTGCCAAAAACAACTTAATTCACTTATACTTTGATATTAAATCAATATCAATACAAATTGTTATGAAATGATTGTCTGTGATGAAAAAAATCTTTATTATGTTGAGGATGTTACACACAAATTTTCGCTATTGATGTAATTTTGAAAATAAAACCAATAGCATCATGAAGAAACCTAAATTATTTCATTAAACTTTGAACATTTAATCGCTTTTTCTTTTACGATATTGATGGTTAAAATAAAGCAATTTTTGTACTAATCAATTTTTGGTTTAAGGCTAAGTTTAGTGGTATTCTTCTTTGTGTGTTATATGGCAAAGGTTAACCAAATTGAAAGAGAAGAGCCTTGAGTTCTTTTGGGTTTTATCTGTTTGAACTCGAAATGTCATCGGCAGCAGGTGGAAAAAGGAAGCAAACCGGTTGGAATTGCAACTTCTCGAGTGGGAGTGGGTCAGTATTTCTGTGGGAAGTGGGTGAGCTGGCTGTGTTCTGGGTTTAGTTGGGTGTCAGTGCGAGCTGAGAACTTGCGTTGAAACATAAATTAGCACAAAACTGACGACAACGAAAACAAAGTGAACACAAAGTGAATTTTGGGTTAAGACTGAGTGAGGACTCTGTGCAGTTGTTGACATGTATTAGGAAGGGGGAGACATAGTTCAAGTACCAATGAAATAGAATCTGTGAGCTCCTTGTCGTACTGCAAAGATACGTAGATAAAGAAAAGATATAGAGCGGGGGAAGGAAAAAAAGAAGAACAAGAACGGGAAGAAAACGATAGACATTTAATAAGCATTTTAAAGACCAGAATCCACTGCATCATCTAAAGACGTCTTATTTTCAACAACAATTAGAAATCAAATAATCGAGCAAGCAACTAAAGTTCATATTTTTTTTTATTTAATTGCTGGGAATCACATTTACAAGGAGGGATATAGGTTGGCATCTTGACCAGGGACTTACCGTTGTTTTTCACTCCATTATCTTTCTCGGCAGCGAATATGTTGGACACCATGCGATTCTTCACGTTCCTGGGGGTCTGCGGCATCTCCGATCCAAAGATGTCGCTCGATCCACCGCCCGGGGGCCTCAGCACCCTGCAAAAATAGGAAAAAGAGATAGACACTCATTAGTTACAAGCTCATTCTTTTACGCTCGGTAATTGATATGGCACAGTGCATAATTCACAAATTTCCACACGCTTGCCCGCCGATGAGCAAAACCTCATTGCTTCGGCGCGGGGAAATGCATTTAATGTCTGTGTCTAATCATCATCACTACGGATGGAAGTGGAGATGGAGCTGGAGTTTAAGGAGGAGAAGAGCGGCACTCATCGAGTTTAAGACGGAGCTGGCTGGGTGAGCACTCAATGGGCATTAGAAGTCACGCCAAGATGCATCTCCCATCTTCCAGCTGCATCGCAATTAAGTGGAAACCCTGGCATAAAGAATTGCAGCCGAGACAAAAGGCTGGCCAAAAATGTTATGCTTTGTGGCATTCACCAGCCACTCAGTACTCAGTCAAGTCAGTCAGTCAGTCGCCGTCCACGCAACGTTGCCCAAAACCACCAGCTACAGTGTCCGTCGGAACTATAAGGCCAGCGTGGTTTCAGACCTCTGCGGGTATTCGTTGTTTATTGAAATTGGGAAACGCAGCAGGACTAAATGAAAATAATTGTAAAAACAAATCATAGATTGGAAGAGTGTGAAATTGCTTTAGTACAGTCATAACACTGTCCTAAAAAACTTTACAAAGTGGGAAACGACGGTTCTAGCAGAATTAAGTTTCATTTAAGCAATTTTGTAATTTAAAACAAATAGAAAATATTTCTTGACTATATTAAAATATACATAATTTTTTATTCAACATATCAACACATAGTAGAAACCATGATTGTCGTAAAACAAAACAAATTTAATTTTTTTTAGATTTTCCCAAGGGGTTTCTTCCTCGCTGAACCTTAGACATTTGATCTTTTAATTTGGCCAACTCGCAGCTGTCTTGCATTTGTGAACCGCACTGTCAGGCATCCAATACTGCGGCTATCCGAGTATATCTGAGGTTTCTGTGAATGCATTTACTGCCGCCAGCATGAGACGTCAATTAAACTTTGCAACAGTTAGCTGCACTGTGGATGCTACCAACTTCTCCAGCTCAGGCTACAGCCAAAACTCCAACTTCAGTCCCAACTTCGACTCCATCTCCTGGTGGTGGTTGCACTTGCCCCCAGGCTCGGAAAGCCAAAGACCATTCACTTGTCAACATTTGCTTTTGGTCGCTCTCTTGGCCATTTGCTATTGCTGGTTTACTACTGCAAGACGCCTTCCTCGGGGCGTCAATCAAATCAGCGGGCTTTCAGTGGGCTAAAAGATTGCGTTTTTATGCACCATCTGCAGCGGCACGACACGCACTTCTTCTCTTTGCAGGAAAGTGAGAGTTAGCTACTTTTGTTACACTTTTGCGATAATTAACGAAATTGCAGTATAATTACTGCCGATTACTGCTGTACTAAACAAAGCTAACGCTAAAGCTAAGGCTAAAGTATGGCGCCACAAAACAATGAAAATAAATAATAGGGGCAATTCCCAGTTTAGCATTCATTTCGGGTATTAAAACTTTCTACAGGTAGAATTGAATCGTTGAATTGAGTGCAGCGGAAAAGGGAAAAGTGGGTGGTGGAGGTAAAGGTGCGTCGCCTTCCTGCTAGAAAGTGCAACCCAAATTGCGTGCCCCAACGGAAGAGGAAGGGGCCTATGGTGCTGCTGCTGTGGTAGCGCCTAATTAATTATACTACACCAAACGGCGGCTGCTTCTTTGCCAAGCTTCTCTTGGCCCTCAAAACATGACAAAGCGTCAAAGCGCAGGCCGCAAAGGCAAAACAACCGTTAAACGGCCGCCGCAAGTGTGTGAACTGCTTGAAGAGTGAGCAAGGGGGAAAGAGTAGGCAATATAACTACACTGGGGAAAAAATCTCACCCTGAACCATAACCGAAAACCATGAAAATCTTGAAACCGCTATGATACACTGAATATTATTGCCCTAAAGTTTTCTGTCGCTGAACCCAGCCAACTGTTTAATTGAAAGTTAATCGGATTAGGAACTAATTTCAACATACTCTTGAGTCTTTGGTATACTTAGTTCGTGACTAAACAGTTAAGTTTTTACGAAACCTTCTTCTATCCTTAAATAGGCTATTAATAATAATTGTCATTGTTAATTCCTCCAAAAATTATCTTTAAAGGTAATTGTTTTGAAGTTTTTGCTTCGACTTCTTATCAATACCTTGTGGGTCCTAAATCGTAATTAAAATTAGAAATAGTTAATGACGTTTAAAAGTTTTCCAATCTAACCATTAAATTATTAGAAAACACGATCGTCAAACGCGATAGTATGTCTGGTTTTAGTTAACTTTCGAATTGTGATCTGGGATAATGGTGTCATGACTATTGAAATCCAATTTTCCAGTGTAGTGGAGTTTTGCGAGTGGCGTCGCGTGGGGAAATAACTGAAATAACTAGCAATCGCAGTTCGGGTTGGGTTGGTGTGTGGGGTAATTGCGATCATAACTGTCGCACACACTCTATAATACCTGGCCTGTGTGTGCAAAGTGTTCTTATTAAAATGTCTTCAGGCTTGTTAGCACAGGCAGCGGAGCGTAAAAGTCTTCTTTTTTTTCGCTCTTTCCTTTTTGACAAAGACTTGTTTCTCCTGCTTTGTCTTCATTTATTTTCTTTCTTTTCTTTTTTGTTTTATTTGATTTTTTTTTGGACCGGCAGGGTTGAGAGGAAAAACTAACAAAGCAACGGTAAATGGGCAATTTTTGCGCAAGTGACGAACAAGTAATAATTATTTAAACAGTTAAGCCGCCAGCCAAGTGGACTCTCATTCATGCATGTGAACCTACCAACTTACCGAATGCGGCCCGATCAAATGGAAAGCGAAAGTTGCGTCTGACTTTAGCCCATGCCACAATGCTGCATTCGGGGACAATATCATGCACTTATTGCCAATGTGGCGAAGATATGCCGACCATCTTAATGGCCTCCAGTTGGCCGGGCTTAGACTAATTACCATCCACACGCCGGCTTTGCGAATATAAAAAAAAGGTCACTATTATGGCTCTGCCAAATTTGGAGGCTTTTGCTCTTTTAATGGCCACAGGTTATACATATTTCTATCCTCTAACCATTATTATCCCCGGAAAGTGTCGCAGTTTATTTTGGCATGGCTTCCGTTTGAGCTGGTTTTGGCCATTTACTTTCCACACGCACGCTGACGCGCGGTCTGGCTTCCCTGGAATCCTCCAGTCAATGGGCTAATTCGCAATTAACCTATTTGTACCGCCTGTGCTTCGTTATTTTAGCTATTTCCCTTTAACTCGAACTAACACCGGCCATAACATTTAGTTTCGCTATCCATTCTTACAAGTTTTTTAATACAAATAAACCAAAACAATTAATGTTCAAATTGAAGGTTTGAAGCTTATATTCACTAGGTGATAAAAAAAGGAACCTAAAGAAGAAAACAATACGCAAAATTTAATGATTGGGAAGTTCCACTGTTGTTCGTTTGCATTTTTCCTGGAAACCTAATAGCTTGACTCAATTTGAAATATGAGCCAAATCGAATTGTCCAATCTTGCTGCTGCACCCTCCCGCTTTTGATCACTGGATCATTGGAAAACCTTTCACACACCAGGCGCCGCGGGCAAAAGTTGACCAACTGAGCAGATCTGCGACAAAACAAGACCGCCAGGTGGACCTGGGAGTGCGCAGGTGGCTCCCAGTTGGAGGAGTCCGCGAGCCTTGGCTTCTCCCGTCCTGGGTGATGACAAAAATTAATGTATATCGAGGGGAAAGGAGCCAGCAGGGAAGAAGAGGCCGCTCCGAGCGAAAGGTAATGTGGCATGGTGTGCTGCAACAACAGCAAAATTTGAAAACAACCTTTTCGGGTAAAAGTTGTTCGGGTTGTGCATATAGAAAATACTTGGCTCAAAGTGATAGTTGTCGCTCTGATTTAGTTTGGGTTTAGTTTTTTCGGATTTTTCTCTCCATAGCCTTTCTTCTTCGACACGGCTCTAGGGTATTTTCCTTTTTTTCTCCGTCTTTCCATTATCCCCAACTGCTGCTGCGATAATTGTTTTATGTTTGATGTTTGCACACATATCGGTGGGCTTTCCCAGATTTCCCTTTTACCCAATTAATTACAACACCAAGGGGGTGTGGCCAGCCCCAAGTCCAAGCCTTTGTTGTAAACCTCTCGATTTTAAATTATGAAATTAAATTTAACTTTCTATTGCGCTTGACCTGATAAAAGTTTTATGGTTTTTATTTCGAATTTTCTTAGCTGTGAAAGGGTTGAATATGTCCGAGCAGAAAGACTTTCCAAATGTAATGGTTTTCTTTACAAAGATTGTTTTCTGAGCTTTAGTTTATCTTTGTACAGAACAGAAAAAAAGATTCTGTTTAAATTTGGACACTCTTCTCCCTTTTAAAAATAAGAGTATTTCCATTTCGAATTGCCTTCCACTAGCGTTCAGCTTCACAAACTTCAACACCAAATTCATTATGACAGTTTTCTAATTAACCAACTGTCAAAATTTGTTTTTACATTGCGCACAAGTAAAAGTTGAAATCGGAGATCTGCTTCCACTTCTACCGCGAAAAGCTGTTGGAAAACTTTTTATGTATTGACAGCGTGTGGGAAAGCGAGCCGACAAGCCACGACAAAGAAAGAAAAAACTAATGCATTTGGAGCATAAGAAGCTTATTTTCGTCTTGTTTCTAAATGCATTCCCTATGACTAATACCTCAAAATTTCGTAATGAAAATTGTGGTGTGAAAACCTGCGTCTTTCCTGCTCTTTCTCGATCTGTCTATTCCGCTGTCAAGCTGCTGCTTCTGGCCAAGACAAGGGGAAAAAAGGCAGGAAAAAGGCAAGAAAAAAAATCCAAGAGACAAGAGAAGACAAGGCTGAAATGGCTGTCTACTGTCCGTTGCCAAGCCAAAGTTAATTTGTTTCTTTGTTTTTTTTTTTTTTTTTTTTTTTTTTTTGGCTAATGCACGAGGTTGTGGGGAAGGAGGGAGGCTGGGCGGA